ACCTTGGGCGCCTCTTTGGGTCTCTCTTCCTCAACCGTGATAGTAAATAGATAAGTCTACCAATGCTAGCCTGAAGGGCAAGGTGAATGGAGCCATGCCAACAGTATGAGCCCAGGAAAGCCTAGCAAAAGTGCTAGCTGAAGATGAGGGAATCTAGACTGGATAGTGGTGGAAGGAGATGATGAGTCTAGGTTGAGGCCTCTGGAGCAGCTGCAGCACTGACAGCTGTCATTTATCCCATTAATTTTCCTTTTAAACTGTAATTTGTCTTATTAACCTTCCACTTCTAAGTTGCTCCCAGGAAGAGAGACCCATGAGTGTGGTGGATAATTAGCAGCGCTTTCCAACAAGACAATCCCCTGAAGTCCTCACACCATCCTGAGAACATGAGTTGGGATCTCAAAATGAGTTAGAACAGAGAAGCTCTATCATTTTCTTATCTTGGCTATGGCCACTTCTTGGAATTTCATGTGACAGAGTTATGTGCATGTGTTCCTTCCTGTCAATGCTATTTACCCTTAATTCCAATCCCGCCCTCTTCCCCCCACCACACACAGTGACCTCAGCCAGTTTCAAACAAGCAATCAGCAAGTGTCTCATGAACAACTTTATTCAGCTCTGTACCTTGGCTTTCATGAACCCATTACAATGGTGATTTGTTCAATTTCCACCCTCCCCACTAGACTGCAAATTCCATGAGATTCCATACCATCGCGGTTGAGGAAGGGAGACCCAAAGAGGTGCCCAAGGTATCATCTGGGTGCTAAACATATTTCCCCCTGCCTCCATTGTGTAATAGCATCTCAACCTCCTCTAATTATCAGGGTCAATCACCCCTGCCTAGATTGTTACCCTTCTTGCCTGCTGTTCCCTGGACACGAGGAGCCTGACGTGCTCAGGTGGCAGCTATTGCTTTAGTTCAAAAAGATTCTTGCTGAGTCCCCTGTGTCAAGCATCTCTAGTCCTGAGATCAGGGCCTGGCTCATTCCAGGTGTCCTATAAACTAAAAAATAAGTAAAGGAATGATGTTGGCTTTTTGGAAACCCATTGTCTGGTACAAAGATAGGGCTGGCGAAAGGAAATGAGAAAGACAGGAGAAGATTTAAATTTGGGAGCAAAGATCAGGTCACATAAAAGGTCAGTGTATAGTTAACTGCTAAACAAATGCGGTGGCACTGACTGCTGTGTTTTAGGAGGGTAGAGGTGTATGAAGTCAATGGAGGAAAGGCTTCCTGGAGAAGGTCGGATTTGGTCTAAGCCTCAAGTAGTACATAATGTTTATCCAACTGAGAACATGTGGGATTGAAGGGGGCCCAAAGAGAGCTCATTCATTCAGGAAATAAGCACTTTGTGTTTCCCATGTGGCTGGCCCTGTGCTTGGCACTTGGAATGCAGCTGTGAACAGAAGAGCAATGCCTGTGTTCATGGAGTGTACATTCTGGTGGGGAAAGACAGGCAATAACAAAGTAAATGGATGAACTTATGGCATATTAGCAGGTTTAGACTGCTTTGGAGAAGAATAAAGCAAAGTGGGGTGATAAAAAGGGTCAGCAGTATGGAGTGGGTGCAAGGATGGGCTCCCTGAGAGGTGAGGTGGGGGGCCATGCAGATCTTTGGGGGAAGAACATGTGGGCAGAGGGGACAGCAGGTACAAAGATCCTGAGGTAAGTGCACTTCTGGCCCATGCAGCTGGCTCAGAATGAATGAGGGCAGAAGCAGTGGGAGGTGATGTTTGAACTTTTTCTTTTACTCTGAGCAAGAGGGGAGCCATTGGAGGGTGTTTTGGTTTTCTATTGCCATGTAACAAATTGCAAACACAATGGATTAAAACAACACAAGCTTGTTATCCCACCGTTTCTGAGGGTCAGGAGCCTGGTGTGTTTTCACTGGGCCCTCTGCTCAGGGTCTCACCAGGCTGAAACCTAGATGTCAGTTGAGGTTGTCGGCTCACCTGGGGCTCAGGATCCTTTTCCAGGCTCACTGGTTGTTGGCAGAATTGAGTCCTTGCAGCTGTAGCACTGAGATTACTGTTTCCTTGCTGGCTGTCAGCCTGGAGCCATCCTTAGCTCCCAGACACCACTTGCTATTTCCTGCCATGTGGCCATCTCCACAACATGGCCGTTTTGGAGAGTATCTCTGTTGCTTAGAATCTCTCTGACTTCCTCTGTCTCTGACCTCTAGACTCTTTAAAAAACGGTCACCTGCTTAAATCAGGCCCACCCACACTGGGGCAGGAATCTTTGACCCACAGAGGGCTTTGAGCAGAGGAGGGGCATGGTCTAACTTACATGTGAGCAGGATCTCTCTGGTGCTGCATTGGGAATAGACTGTTGGGAGGATAGATGGAAACAGGGAAATTGGGAGATGAGTTAGCATGCTTGGATGAAGGAGGGCTGGGAGTGTGTGCTGAGGGCATTGAGGGATGCTGATGCATGGCCGGGGAGTCCCTGCAACGCTGGCCAGGGAGTCTGAACTTCATCTCGGTGCCACAATGAGCCAGGGTAGCATCCTGAGTTGTGGCTAAGTGTAACTTCATTTATTTATTTATTTATTTTCTTTTAAAAATTTTAATAGGTACATTGTAGGTATATATATTTATGAGGTAAATGAGATATTTGATACAGGTATACCATGTATAGTAATTGCATCAGAGTAAATGGGGCACCTATGACCTCAAAACTTTGTCATTTCTTTGTGTGTAACTTTATTTTATTTTATTCTTTTAGAGACAAGGTATTGCTCTGTTGTCCTGGATGGAATGCAATGATGTGATCACAGCTCACTACAACCTCAGACTCCTGGGTTTAAGCGATCCTCCTGCCTCAGCCTCCCTAATAGCTGGGACTACAGGTCTGTGCCTCCATGCCTGGCTAATTAAAAACATTTTTTTTTGGTAGAGACAAGGTCTCACTATTTTGCCCAGGCTGGTCTGGAACTCCTGGGCTCAAGTGATCCTCCTGCCTCAGTCTCCCAAAGTGCTGGAATTACAAGTGTGAGCCACCACGCCCGGCCAAGAGTAACTTTAACTTCACCAAAGCTCAAGTACTCTGGTATTCCTTTGCCTTATCCTGCCAAAGGGTCCAGCTATAGTAAAAACACAGTGGTTACCAGCCAGGAAGGGACAGAGTGGAGGTAAAAGAGGAGGGGAGTGAAAGGGGGCCGGGTTGGCTGAGAATGCTGCACCCAGGTGTGGTGGGCGACCCAGCCCCTGAGATCCTTGAGAAACCTGCCACCTGTGACTCTAGCTGGTGCCTCCATTCCGCCCTTGTCTTAGGACCCCTTCTTTCCTCCTGTCAAGGAACATGGTCCCAGGATGCCACAGAATGGAAGATGGCAGTGGCTCAGGGCCGTGGAAGGCAGGAGCAGTCTGAAAAGCTCGCGGGGGACCTGCCGGTGAATACCCATTGTCTGTTTCTGAGACTTGTCACTGTTCTGTGAGGGAAAGAGAAAGAGAGAATGAGGATGTTTGTGTGAGTCAGGGTTGGGTGAGAGCTAACGCTGAACTTAATGCGAGAATGTCTCGCCCGGTGCCAGCACAGAGCAGACTTTCAAGAAAGGTTATCAGTGGCCTTTGGTTCAGTGAAATTCACTGAGGCCTTGCTCCTGGTATCAGTGACTACAGCTCCACTCTTGCCTCAAGGGGTTCACAGTTTTGTTGAACGCAGGTTTTCAAATCACTTGTGTGCAACAAACACAAGTGTGCATGTGTGCACACTCAAAAGCCAGCTGTCTGAGTTGAGATCTTGGCCCCATCACTTAACTGCTTGACTTTGAATTGTATGCAAGTCACTGAATGTTTCTGTGCCTCCATTTCCTCTTTGTAAATGGGGTAATAACCACAGTACCCACCCCCCCCGCCAGGGAATTGGTAGAAGTGTTGCGTTAATGACATGAATTGCTATTTGTAAAGTGTTTAGAACAGTGCTGAACATGCAGGTGCACTGTATAGGTGTTTGAGACCTACAAAAACATGGAGATTGAATTCTTAAATGATGTCTCCTCATCTTATGAAGTTCTTTCTTGATTCTTGCAGCCACCCTGGATTGGGTGAAACGGAGCTGAGCAGCTGAGGACTGAAGGTCGTGCCCTTTGTGTGAGTGAAGGAGAGAGGAAGTCCAGGCAAACCTTCTGTGGGGTTCATCAGTGGTTACCCAGGCTCATCCCTGAGCCAGGCTGCTAGGCTGGCCAGCGTGTGACCTCCAAAGTCCACCTAAGACCACAGGATCCTGGTTTCTGGGGATAGGAACAGTGAATGAGTTTTTAAAAGGTCCTCAGTGAGCCGGGGATGGTGGCACATGCCTGTGGTCCCTGCCACTCAGGAGGCTGGGGAGGGAGGATCACTTGAGCCCAGGAGGTCAAGGCTGCAGTACGCTATGGTCATGTCTATGAATAGCCACTGCACGCCAACCTGGAGAACATAGTGAGACCCCATCTCAAATAATAAAAAGACGTCTTCAGGGGATTTTGATATATAACTAGCTATGGAACTCACTGGTAGTGTTGATTTGCCTTTTCTGCCTGTTTTATTTTGTTTTAGTCTGTGGAGAGTGAGTGTGTTTGTGTGTGGGATAATCCTCTGTAATCCACTTGCTCTGGCAGAGTTATTGTAACGACTGGTTTGGATGTGGTACTTTTGTATCAAAGCTCTTTCCATTGTCAGGTGGGTGAATAAAGATCATTATTTGTTCCTGTGTGTCACTGTCAAGTAAAGAGCTTTCCCGTTTTCTCCCTGCATCTCATCTCTCTGGATGCAGTAGGTATGCAGGAATGTAGTTATGGCAATGACATGCCCTTTCTTACCATTTCCCACATCCCTTTCTGAGTCAGGTAGAAATATTTGAGGGCCAGTGGGACTGACAATAGCTGTTCTAGGAGGTCAGAAAGGAAGCGGAAAGGCAAGGCTGGCTTGGTTTCTGGAGGAACAGAAGCCAGTCGTCAGAACCCTCCAGCCTCCCGGCACGGCACTGCTAGGGGAACTGTCCAGTTGAGTTTCTTAGAATCGCATCTCTACCGGGACCTGCTGTTAATCTCCAGCCCAGCCCCCATCAGAACCCAGACCGATAGCTGAGAATGGAGCTGTCTGTCTTTCTGAGCCCCCTGATTGTTTTGTTATTGCTAATGGGCTGATTTCCAGTTATGTAACCTCCTCTCTGTTAGATGAAATCTCATTATTTTACTGTGCTGTGCACATCAGGTCTGGTTCACGTTGAGCTACCTGAGAGGAGCTGGGAATGTGCTGTTTCTCATCATTTTCACCCAGCAAGAGAACTGGAGAGAGAGAGCTACACCCAAACCAATTATGGTCAGGCCCTCTGGGCTGTTACATGATATTCCAGGAGACAGTGGAGTGAAGCGGACCTCAGCGTCCCAGAGGTGTGCTGCCAAGACAGTGTGCTTTCCTTGCTTGGAAGTCTTGGGTAAGTAAGTTCTCTTTCCAACCCAGAAGATTTTGAGGGGCATTTGTATATGGGGTAGAGAGAGTTCCTAAATTGACTTACAATTTTCTTGCACACAAATAAACAAAGAAGCAAGCAAACAAAAGCAGATAGAGACCTTCTTTCTAGGCCTGCCGTCTACTACGTTTTAGGGCCTGAGTGAGCTCTGATCCAGGCAAATCAGGTAACCAGGGTCGTGGCCTCGAATCCACGTATGAAAACCCTGACTCCCAGGCACAGTGTCCAGTGGGAAACAGAAGGTCTGGTGAGATCCCAAGGCCTGGAGTCCTCCGAGGTGGTTAGTGTGGTATGACTGGGGGAGTGGGGGCTCCGGGGTCAGGAGAACCGGTTTGATTCTGCTCTGCCACTCACCACCCATGTGATCTTGCACAAATCACTCTGCCAGTCAGAAAAACAGAAACAGGTCTTTCCACAGAGAGTGTTTAATTACACAGGCATTGGAAGAGCTGAGGAGACAAACAGGGGCCAAATGAGGGCCTGAGAGCACAGGCCCAGAACAGAAGGATTCTGCAGGAGGTGGGAAGCCAGGGCCCTCCAGTGGGAGGGGCTGCCCATTGTGAGCTGGGACTCTGGAGCCAGGGGAGGAGCTGGAATCATGGGGAAGACAGAGCTGAGAGATGTCATTTGGGGCAGAAAGAGATGAAGAGAAATACCCTGGCATCTCCCTTACTCTCTCCTCCAATCTTATGCTGATCCCCCTTTGGCTGAACCTACACGATGGCAAAGGAACTTGGGAAACGAGTCTACCGTGGAACAGAACAGAGCGGGGAAAGGGCAGGGAATGGATGAAAGAGCAAATGGGGCATGGCCTGTGTAGAGTGAATGTCTTTGAATAAATCGTCTCTAATGTGAATTATTGCCACTGACCCTTGGGCTGAGGCATGGGTGGACCAGGAGCTGGACTGGCCAGTGGACACTCTCAGCTATTTGGGAGGGGAAGGGGATGCAGTGTTTGCCCACATTGGTACTTCCTGTGACTGGAACAGCAGCCCTTGGTGATAATCTCCACGGGGCAGATTAACATGACCCTGCCTACTTCCATTTTTCTGCTTTGTTTCTTTCTTTTAGCAGCTTCCTACCTCCTCTAAGAAGATTTTCCAGGCAAAACCCAGATCTGCTTTAGTGACTTCAGAAGAAACAGATCTGAGGGAGGATGAGAAGCCAGTAGACAATGGTATGTGTGTAAAAACACGCGGCAGACACACCTGCTCTCCAGCGTTCTATCTCAGCTGATGGTCAGTGAGCCTTGGGCCGTCTTCACCTCCTTTTCCTTTCTCTCACTGTCTTTCCACCATGCCATCTCTATCAGTTCAGTTCCCAGTGGAACACAGATGGTTTGCCTGAAGAAAATCTAATGAGGGGTCTATTTATCTGTGGTCAGGGTTTGGGATGCCCATGTGCAGTAGTGATGCCCCAGGGATGAGCAAGAGTGGAAAGCTGTGGCTCCCTTGAGGCCTCAGGGCCAACGGAATGGACTGTGCTGCTGGAGCCCTGGGGAGCTGGAGCTTGGAAGAGGGGAAAAGGGGTCACCTCAGAAACTGTAGTCATAGAGATGCAACCACTGCCACACTGCCCAGACTGTGGCAAGGCATGGCGGGAGCAGAGGGAATCAACACCCAGCACCCGTCCCTTTGACCCTTTGACCTGCTGGTGCCTTGCATTGGCTAAACCAGAAACTGGAGGGCAAGAGCGCCCCAGTGTAGCAACCTATGGGGCCAAAGTTCTGAGGTCAAAGCAGGACAGAAGGTGGAGAAGGGACTTGGGGGGACACATGGAGAACAATCAGCAAAGTTTACCCCCTTTGTCCCTTGGCACTGGAAAATCTGAGAAGCACCAGATGTTGTATGAGTTACCTAAGAGGGGTTTGTTGCTTGAATGTCTTTCCACTTTGGGGGATTTTTGAAGAAAGTGTTTATGAGCAGGGCAGCTTACCCCTTTACCTAGTCTTCCAAGAATAAAAGACAAGGCCTCAGTTTTTAGTCAGTTGTAAACACTTATATTCTTTATTTTTAGGTTATGAGGATGAGGGTGGCTATCCAAAGGATTGAGAGAGTAGGCTTTTGCACTATGTAGCCATGGATTCAAATCCCAGCATTACCACTGATTAGCTTGGGGCTTTGTTAAAGTTAGTGACTTCTCTCAGCCTCGATTTGCCAAAATGTAATGTGTTAGAAATATCAAAACATGGTTGAAAGGATGGAATGGGGTAAGATGTATAAATTGTTTAATAATGTTAGCTACATGGTTTTATTTTGCAAACACATGGAGTGGAGTCATTGGGCAAGAAGCAAGATACTCTTGCAAGGGAAAGTCTTGGCCATTTAACCAGTTATGGGGTGGGGGGAGGACTTTGGTGACACAGCAGGTGCCCAAGGTCTTCAGAGTGGCAAATCAGTACATTTAAGGGCAGTTTTGACTGCCTGGCTGACCAGATGCTCCCCCAACAGAACTATATCCGCAGGTAGTATCTGGAAGTTAGAAGGTATCCTGTTGGGCTGCCTGGAGGCAGGGTTGTAGGGGGTTGGTGACCCTTTGTCTTGGGGTGTGAGGTCAGATGTGTCTGATTAGAGAGGACTAAGAAGGAGACAGGCTACTGTCCTCTTGGATGGCTCATCTCAAATAACTGCCACCATCTAACATCTGACTAGTGCTCTGCCACCTACAAAACACTCTCATTTCCATCATCTCCTAATTTCACATGGACAGGGCTTAGTTTGCTTGTTCAAATCTCCCATGACTGACCACTTCTGCTGATTCACACAGGAAAAATCATCTAGTCGAGATGAAAAAAACAAACCTTGAATGTGTCTCTACAGACTTTGACATTTTGAGTAGGAAATAGGACTTGAGGACTCATGAATTTTCGTCTCTCCTTCCTGTTGAAGGTTGAGACTTTGCAAGAGAGAGGGGGCCGTGGGCTATGAGCGGCTGGCTCTGGGGAGGGTTTTAGGAGTGTAAGGTTGGTGGAGGCGACACACCAGGGTGATGGGTTGCTTGCAGGAATGGAGTGGCAACCCAGGAAGGGTGGGGTTTTGGCCTGAATGCTTTTGTCAAACCCATCTTCAGAATGGACTTTATTTATTTATTATTTTTTATTTAACTTTTATTAAATGAAGGTCAGGGGTACATGTGCAGGTTTGTCTTAGGGTAAACTTTTGTCATGGGGGTTTGTTGTACAGATTATTTCATCACCCAGTTATTAAACCTGGTATCCATTAGTTATTTCTCCTGGTCCTCTCCCTCTCCCTCCTGCCACCTTCCACCCTCCAATAGGCCCCAGGTGTGTTGTTCCCCTCTATGTGTCCATGTGTTCTCATCATTTAGCTCCCACTTACAAGTGAGGACGTGTGGCATTTGATTTTCTGTTTGTGCGTTAGTTTGCTAAGGATGATGGCCTCCAGCTCCATACGACGGACTTTAAAGGGGGCATTTGAGACTCTAGAGAAAAATGCCCTGAAGAAGCATAAAGCTTAATACCATCCCTAGCAGGTGCAGCCACGTGGAGGCAGTGGTTACTTTTCAGGTGCAAATGAGAAGAAAAGGGTTGGGGACATGGCTGTAGACTTCAGACCCAACTGCACAGAGTGTGGGCCTGAAACAATTTAAACTTGAATTTTTTTTTTTTTTTTTTGGGACAGTCTCACTCTTGTCACCCAGGCTGTAGTGTAATGGCACGATCTCAGCTCACTGCAACCTCTGCCTCTCAGGTTCAAGTGATTCTCCTGCTTCAGCCTCCCAAGCAGCTGGGACTACAGGTGCCCACCACCATGCCTGGCTGGTTTTTGTATTGTTAGTAGAGATGGGGTTTCACCATGTTGACCAGGCTGTGAACCTGAATTTTCATGCAAGAAAGTAAATACATGTGCAGATTCATTTCCCCACCTTGTAGGTTTATGTCAAGTTGAGGACAGACTGCTACTGTTGCTGGGAGGATAGAACCCTGTGGATGTTCCTCACATCCTCTTCCAACGAGGTAGAGTTGCACGGTGGTGAAGTCTTCGCCTCAGGCGTTCAAGTCCTGGCTCTACCACTTACTCTTTATGTGACTTTGGACAAGTCCTCTAACTTTTCTTGGCTGTAGTTTCCTTCTCTGTGAAGCAGAAATGGTAATTGGGTCTATGCCAGGATGATTCTGAGGCTTCAGTGAAATTATGTGAGCAAAGAACACTGTTGGCACGCAGCAAGTATCATAGCATCCTCATTGGAGCCTTTCCTATTCTGGTGGCCTAAGCTGGTGTTCACCTTCCAAGTGCTCTCTACAGGTCCCAACCCTGGCCTGACTTACCTTTCCAGAGGCACAAGGAAGTCCTAGACATCCCCAGATCCACACAGTACCACATGGGGAGAGGAGGAGTTGCCCAGGCAGGAGACTGGCAGGAGCTGACAAAGGAGCAGGAGGAAAACCAAGGGCGAGCGTTTCCTTGAAAGATGGAGAGGAAAGATTCTCATGAGTGAGGGGTGACTGCTAGTGTCACAGACTGGAGAGAAGGGAGATGTGCTGTGAGGGGAGAGCAGAGGGTGCCTCTCAACCTGGGAGATGCAGTGTGATGGCAGGTGGGAGACCTGAAGTCCACCCTGCCCTGCTGTGGGGTCTTGAGATGACTGCTGACATCTCTGTCTTGGCCTTCCTTAAAATTATGGGGACCAGAGGGGGTGATTCGATGATTTATTCTTTTAAATTTCTTTTAGCTTTAAAGTGGTATGATTCTATGATTAGGGTTTACTTTTTTATTTTTATTTTATTTTATTTTATTTTTTTGAGGTGGAGTCTCGTTCTGTAACCCAGGTTGGAGTGCAGTGGCGTGATCTTGGCTCACTGCAACCTCCGCCTCCTGGGTTCAAGTGATTCTCCTGCCTCAGCCTCCTGGGTAGCTAAGATTACAGGTGCCCGCCACCATGCCCGGCTAATTTTTGTATTTTTTAGTAGAGATGGGGTTTCAAATTAAAAATTAAATCTCAATTCAACAGGCTTTATTGAGGACCCCAAGATTTTTACTGTGTTCAAGGTGCCCTGGGGAGCCTACACCTGGTTGGGAGTCCTAGATTGGTTATCCATGATAGTTTGATCTCGAATGAATCATTCAGCTTTCTTGATCCTCAGGTTTTCCATGTCTTCTAATAGTTATTGAGCACTCACCATCCAAGCAAGCTACCAGGCACTTTCAATTAGATTATCTCATTGAATACTGGCAATCCTGCAAAGAATTTATGGATGAGGAGTAGTATTAGCGAAGAAGCTGTGGGTTTCTTCAATGTCCCATGTCTCTGAGTGGTGCAGTTGGGAGGTAAGCAGAAGTCTGTTCCCTCCCCGACCCTTATATGATGCATCTCCACACCTGTTTGCCACAGTTTCCGTCAGTGGAAGAGGCACTACCAGGGTCACGAGTCTATCACAGAGCAAACCTAGTGAATTATAATGAGATACTTATTTATCTGTCTCTCCTGCTATGTGTAAGATTCTTGAAAAACAGGGACTGAATCCAAATTACCTTTTTGTATCTCTGGAGTCCAGTAGAACATCTAGTACATAACAGGGGCTCAGGAGATATTGAACCAGGCATTAGGACAGGCACTGGGGATTCATAGATTAAAGGATTTAGATCTAGCCCTCAAGGACTCACAGTCTAAAGGGGATATGGGCGTACAACTATATAATGACAATGCAATGAGACACTTACTTTAATAGAGGTATGTATAATGTGAACATTTTTCTTTTTTGGGGGGTTGAATTCATTTTAGTGAATACATTTTTTGAAATTTAAAAATTAAGGTCATTTTTATTTTTATTTTATAGCATATAGACAAATACAAAGAATTTTATATTGAATATCTATCACCAAACTTATTAGATCTTGCCAAACATTTGCCAAACTTACTTTAAATGAAAACACACACACACACACACACACACACACACACACACACACACGCTGCAGATCAGCTGAAAGAACCTGGATGTTCCTTTGAATCTCATTGTCCTCCCTCTGTAGAAGTAGCCCTTAATGTAAATTAGGTTTATTATCCCCATGCATTTTCTTAAAGAGACAGGGAGAGACAGAGTCTTGCTCTGTTGACCAGGCTGGAGGGCAGTGGTGTGATCATGGCTCACTGAAGCTCTACCTCCTGGGCTCAAGTGATCCTTCTGCCTCAGCCTCCCATGTAACTGGGGCTATAGGCTCACACTTCCACACGCAGCCCCATGCAAATTCTTATATACTATTGTGTGTGTGTATGTATAAATATATAAATATATAAATATAAATATAAATAGAGAGGAGCCTATATAGATTCTTTCCTTCCTCCTTCCCTCCTTCTCTCTTCCTTCCTTCCCTCCTTCTCTCTCTTCCTTCCTTTCCCCCTTCCTCTCTTTTTCTCTTCTCTCTCTCTTCTTTGTGATTCTTAACAAAGTGGAAGTCTACTAGACACATGACTCAGAGACTCGTATTTTCCCAGTTAATCTATGCAGATTTATTGGATGAATGGCTTACTTGCCTTTCATCCTGTGTTTTGTGAAAGTGAGAGGTTAGGGTAGGGGCTATGCCTCCCACCAGAGAGATGTCTTTTTGCCCTTAAACTGGTAAGAGAAGGTCTCAAGAGAGGCCACATGGGAAAGAGGCAGAAATGCTCAGTTGGGTCATGAAGGACCCCTGGGCATTGGAGCAGGAGCCCTCACAATCGTCTAGAACAGCAGTTCTCCACAGACAGGGGGCTTTTCATGTTAGAGTTAGGCTGCAAGAAATATTTTGCTTTTAAAAAACAATAGAAGTTTGAGAATTTTTTTGCTCAAAGTTATCTCTGAGGGCACCATCATTTTTCAGGAGACCCCAGCTCATCCTCGAGCTCAGTGGTCTATCACGCACCCCCAAGAACATACTCCCACGTCCTACAACACCTTTGTATTAGTAAGGATGCAAGTTCTGCTACTCTGACAAAGACCCAAAGCTGGAGCTGCCACACATTTTCAGAAGTCTTGGGACCTGATTGTTACACAGAGCTATCATTAACAATTAAATTTTATAAATTAAAAGTGAATATATTAAAAGTCAAG